CCACCAGCTTCGTCGTCCTCTAGCAAAAGAGAGCATGGTGCTCCAAACTCCTTCCTTGCACTAGGCCCTCCGGCTCCTTCTAGAGGCAAACCCACTCTTCTGTCCTCTGTGAGGTCATCCTCAGCCCACCACCAGTCACCGGATCCTCAGTACCGATTGGAGGCAGCGAGAGGTACCGTTTCCCATGGACGCCTAGAGAGGATTCTTAATCTGAGTCCGATGCGGAGCCCTGTGTTCAACCTAAGGGCCCCCCGTTGTACATGCTGCCAGACCTCGGTATGGGCCTCCTCCCCCCGCTGGTATCTGCGAGAACAGTGGCCATTCTGGAATCCTTGGTGTTTTCCCCCAGTACCAGGTCCACCTTCCCACCGTTTCTACTCAGTTACTTCTGAGAGGCGGACTCCCACTCCTCCACAACCAGCACCAGACCACAATTCCAGTACCAACCCCAGTACTGATTTACAGCACGTGGCTCTTATGGAGGTTATTCAGGCTGAAGAATAGGAAGAAATCTCTCCTCCAGTACAGGCCTCTTCCTTTTCCTCCCCAGATGAGGCCATCTCCGGGCCGAGCAGCTCACTTCCCCAAGATGACTTTAAGCTTCATCAGGAGCTTCTGAAGCGGATAGCAGCTAACTTGGGGCTTGAGATTGAGGAGCTCAAAGAATCACCTCACAGCCTTATTGACATTCTGGCTGCCGCAGCTTCATCTAAAGTGACCTTACCCATTAATGAGGCAGTGATGGGTCCAGTCAGAGTCTTGTGGCAGACTTCATCTTCTCTGCCCCCCCCCCCACTCCCCCACTTTGAAGAGGGCAGAGAACAAATATTATGTGCCAGCCATGGGTATGAGTATCTGTACTCTGACCCCACTCTGGGCCACTTGTTATATTGATGGCTAACGAAAGGGACAGATGGCAGTTGAGTGCTACCCTGAAACAGAAGGACACACAGAAACTTGATCTGTTTGGGAGGAAAGTTTAGTCGACAGGTGGTCTACAACTACATATCTCAAACCAGCAAGCCTTACTACAATTTGTGGGACTCCCTGTCCAAATTTAAGGACTTCAGGCCCCAAGACTGAAGGCAGGAATTCTCAGCCCTCTTAGAAGAGAGAGAGAATGTTGCCAGAGCACCTCTCCAAGCGGCACTGGACACAGCAGATGAGGTGGCCAGGACAAAGGCCTCCTCTGTCACCATGAGATGATGCTCTTGGCTTCAGTCTTCGGGACTCCCTCAGGAGGTCCAGTCTATCCAATGGACCTCCATTTTGAAGGCTCCTCACTATTTTCAGAGCAGATGGACACAAGACTATGTAGCCTGAAGGATTCAAAGTCTACCCTCAGGATCCTAGGCCTCTATGCTTCATCTACTTCAAGAAAGCACTTAAAGCCTCAACAGCTGCCATGCTTCTTGGCTCCGCCTCCGAGACAGGATCCCTATAAGAGAAAAAGGAGAGGTTATAAGCACCGTCAGCTGCTTCCGTTCACCTCAACCTTCCTGTTGGGGTCTCATAGGTACTTTGGTGGGCCCAAGCAGGCCTTCTCATTAGCAACTCCTTGCCCAGGAGGTGCAGACCCTCCTACGGATGGGGGCCGTGGAGGAGGTACCTTGAAACTTGAGAGGGAGGGGGTTTTACTCCCATTATTTCCTAACCTCAAAGGGGGTCTTTGTCTGATCTTGGACCTGCGTCGTCTCAACAGATGTCTCAAGAAACTGAGGTTATGCATGGTCTCCCTGGCCTCCATCATTCTCTCTCTGGCTCCAGGGGACTGTACACCGCCCTCGACTTGAACACTTACTTTCACATTTCTGTCTTCCGTGGCCACAGAAGAATTCTCAGGTTTATTGTAAACCAGGCTCATTATCAATTCACCGCTCTTCCCTTGTGCCTGTTCACTGTCCCTTGGGTTTTCATGAAGTGCATGGCGGTGGTAGCTGCCTTCCTCAGACAGCAAAGCATTCAGATCTACCTGTACCGTGATGACTGAGTAATCCAGGGTCATACAGAGGCTCGAGTAAATAACAGCATCAGCCCCGTTCCAAGCCACCTTTCGAGTGCTGGGCCTAGTTGTAAATGAGCAAAAATTGACTCTTATTCCAGTTCAGAGAACAGAATTTGTTGGGGCAGTGCTCGACTCGACCCAAGCCAGAGCCTTTCTTCCGGAGGCCCGATTACAGACTATGTTGGACCTGATATGCAAGGTCATCGTCCACCCAATCAGGACAGCCTGGGTTTGCCACAAGCTACTGGGACACATGGCTGCGTGCAAATACATGGTCTGGCATGCAACATTACACTGCAGGCTCCTGCAGACATGGCTAGTTTTAGTTTATTCTCCGAACAGATACTACTTGGGCTACTCGGTGCTTACTGTTCAAACCCTGGTCCTCACCTCCCTCGACTGGTGGAAGGATCCAAGGTTTGTGACGATGGGAGTCCCCTTTGTTGCACCCCAACCATCAGTGTCCCTAGCCTTGGACATGCCAGACCTAGGTTGGGGAGCCCACCGTGACAGCCTCAGGACTCAAGGCCTGTGGTCCCAGGAAGAACTCTCCCTGCACATAAACATCAGGGAGCTCAGAGCGATCCACTTAGCTTGCCAAGTGTTCTTTTCCCAGATCACAGGCAAGGTCATGCAAGTTCTGATGGACAACACTGTGGCCATGTTCTACATCAACAAGTAGGGAGGAGCTCGTTCCTCCTCCCTGTGTCAGGAGGCCGTCCGTCTATGGGACTTCTGCATGAAGCACTCCATCCACCTTGAGGCTTCCCATCTTCCGGGACCCTGGAATGCACTGGTGGATCACCTCAGCAGATCCTTCTCCTCTCACCACGAGTGGTCCCTTCACCCAGAGGTCACCAGGTTTATCTTCCAAAGGTGGGTGTCTCCCCAGGTGGACCTCCTTTGCAACCAAGCAGAACAGGAAATGCCAGCAGTTTTGCTCACTGAGAGGGCACAGCCCAGGCTCCCTCTCAGATGTCATCCTGTTTCCTTGAACAGAACTTCTATTCTATGCATTCCCCCGGTTCATCTGGTTCACAAGATCCTTCTGAAAATCAAACTGGACAAGGCAAGAGTTATTCTTATATGCTCTGTGTGGCTAAACCGACACTGATTCGGCATGCTGCTAGATCTGTCAGTAGCAACCTCACTTCTGCTCCCACTCTGCCCGGACCTGATCTCTCAAGCCCACGAAAGTAAAATAAAAGTAAAGTAAGTTACTCCACCCGAACCTCAGCTCCCTTCACCTAATTGCATGAATGTTACGTGGCTGAACCTGGAGGAGCAGACCTGTTTGGAACAAGTTCGACAGGTCTTGCTGGGTAGTAGGAAGCCACCCACTAGGGTTACCTGCCTCGCCAAATGGAAGTGTTTCTCAATATGGGTGTCTCAACGAGACCTCTTTCTGACTCAGTCTTCCCTTCAGTCTATTCTGGATTATTTGTTCCATCTTAAGCAATAGGGTCTAGCCCTCGTGTCTATCAGGGTACATTTAGCAGCAATTTTGGCCTTCCCACCCAGAGGTGAACTGCAGATCAGTGTTCTCTCATGAAATGTCAGTCCACTTTCTTAAAGGGCTGTCATTTATTCTCAGGTCCGCAAGCTGATTCTCACCTCCTTGGATACTGCTTGTGAGTCATCTGACGTGGAATGGACATAAGCAAGCACTCGAAGAAGAAAAAACGTTTACTAACCTTTCCATAACTGTTGTTCTTCAAGATGTGTTGCTCATGTCCATTCCACAACACACACTCCTGTCCCACTGTTGGAGCTGGTTGGCAAGAAAGAACTGAGATGGTGCGGGGCCAGCAGCACCCTTATGCCAGAGCATAAGCACATGACACCAGAAGGTGCTAGAGCCGGCCTGACGGATACCACTGAGGGGGAAAATCTCCAGCAACAGTGCACGTGGTGCGCGCACACCTGTTGTAGAATGGACATGAGCAACACATCTCGAACAACAGTTATGGAAAAATTAGTAACCATTTTTTCAAGATCTGTGGGACCTACACATGCCTATCACTACATGTGGTATACCTCATCCAGTGCACTAAATGCCACAATAGCAACTATGTGGGTGAAACCAGACAATCATTATGCTTTTGAATGATCTCACACAGGAAAATGATAAAAGACAAAAATACCGTCACCTGTGAATGAATCACTTTTCACAAAGCGATCACTCTGTCTGACCCATCAGTCCTCCTCGTCAAAGGAAACCTGCACAACACTGTCAAAAGGCGAGCCTGGGAGCTTAGGGGTAACTTTGCTAGACACTAAAAATCATGGACTGAATAGAGATACTGGATTTCTGGCTTATTACAATCTGTAACCCACTAACAATGCCCTGCCCAGTCGCCTCTCTCCCCTTTCTTTCCCCCCTCTTACTGGAGGTGTGTTAACAGGCCATCTCACCTTGACTGGTCCTTTGAAATATGTTAACTACTTATGCTAAATAATCTCTTCCACCTTGTATTTAGCTGTGACAATTGAGTACGTTTCCCAGACCTGAAGAAGAGCTCTGTTTTAGCTCGAAAAATTGTGTTTCCCCAACAGAAGTTGGTCCAATAAAAGATATTACCTCCCCCACCTTTTCTCTCTAATGTCCTGGGACTGATGTGGCTACAGCAACTCTGCGTACTGATAGTTCCTCTCATTTGCATGAATGGGCAACTGCTTTGTAAGAATTTAAGTGTTGCTTATTGGAGTGAAATAAATCACTTTCTGAAGTGTATAAAAAAACGGAATGGTTGTGTAAAATCCAGTTATTACAAGAAGCTACTGATGGGTACAAAGAATCAAAGCATGTAGTTGTTGCCCCACCATGCAACATAATGCTGCTAAATATTTGTCCAATAAAGGTAGCAAAGATGTATTATTTCGATCACCTAATAATCACAGTAGATGTAAACTTTTCTTTTAAGCTGCTATAAATCTTTAAAGAATTTCCTCCTTATTTGGACACTAATTTTTGTTGTTTTCCCCCCCCCCCCAGGTAATGTTTGAGACATACCAGTTTTCTGGAGTATATGTAGCCATTCAAGCTGTTCTTACTTTGTATGCCCAAGGTAGGTAAAGGTTATAACTTAGCACATTTAATATCTAAATGCATTACTTTGCTAAAGTCTTAATATGGTATTAATAGGGCTGCCGATTAATTGCAGTTAACTCACGCGATTAACTCAAAAAATTGACAGCCCCAGCTATTAATAAAGAAAAGATCTTGGTCCCAATTCACCAGTAGCATAACTGAGCCAGCTGACTGGATCTTCATCAAGAGTTTTGGGTTGATGAGCATCGGCATGAGTAGTACTTCTGATGGTCCATAGCTTATTCCTCCTTTCCCCATAAAAATAACACTGTGGATTCTTCTTTGTAAATGCTAAAACCTGGTAATATAGAACGAGACTGTCCTTGTATCTCAGACGTTTAAAATGTTATTTTCAGAAAGTCTTTAGCTTGTTTTCAGTTTTCAAGAAAAGGTTCCAACAAGTCCTTTAAACTTTGATTTCATTTTATGGAAGCAAAATTACATTGCCTTAAGTCGATGCCTAAAAGTTGTGAAAGCATTAAGATGACTGTGCTTTATTTCTTGGGCAAGAGAAGGAAGTAGATTTCTCTGACAAGTTGGAATAAATCATAATTTGAGTTTGAGCGTTAAGAGACTGGAGGTGAAATCCTGGCCCTGTTGAAACCAATGAGTGTTTGCTATTGACTGCAGTGGGGCTTGGATTTCACCCTAGGACTTGAAAGAGAGTTAATTCCAAGCATATGTGTATGATAACATGACTCCTTACACCTTTTATTAGAAGCATGGTGAAATTACATTTAAATGGTAGAATGTGCATAGCCTTTTTGCAATAACATCTGTTATCACCACTTTTATGTCAAGAATGGTATAAATTTGCTCTGCCACACTACATGTTAAGCGCAAGATATTAACAATTGAACATGGTTATATTTACAAACCGAAGTGCTAGCTGAAAAACCGTTGAAACAATTTTATTCAGTACCAGCGGTGGGGGGTAGGGGGGTGGGTTCTTAGAAAAGGGAAAAACAAACCATCTGCAACAATTCAGAACTTATAGAAGATGACACTAAAATTTAGCTGACACATTTATGACACTTGAGTTAAGATATTGCCCAAACTTCTCTTAAATCCCCTCTTTTATTGGGTTCATAGCTGGACAATAAAAATTCTTTCCAGGCTGAAATTTGGCGTGCACATATTCTCACTGGGAGGGATTTTTCTTTTGGTAATTTATATTCCTTCTAGGCATGAGGGAAGTGTCATCATTCCCACTGCAGGGTAGGTGATAAGCCTCTCTATTCCCGATCAAGGGCCTGCATCCCAAATTGCTGTCCTAACTTCAGGCTCTTGGACAGGACTCCAGAGGGCAGGATGGGCTGCAGACTTCCTTCCCACTCTCAACTTCAAGGACTGCCTGAGAGTCTCTATTGGCACTGCCTAAAGTCACACTCCTATGTCATGGCCTGATTTCTTTCTCAGTGGTGCTGAGCATTTGCAATGCTCACTGATGTCAAAGAGTTTGGAAATTTAGCCTATAATTCTATATGTGCCTGCATTTCATGGCATGTGATTTTTGAGACAATTCCTATGTAAATAGTAAGTTAAAAAATAATTTTAACCTTTAGAACGCTTTGATGTATAGATTGTCAGCAAAATGAATGCTTAGGACAGGATGTGTGAGACTTCTAAGTATTTAATGTATCCAGTTTCCAAAGGGTTAATTCTGGGTGACACATACCCATGAACACTATTAGCAGAAGTGAAAATACTCGTATATCTTTAATATGTCATGTGTTCCTAGGAATTGCAGTGCACATGATATGCAACTTCAGTCATTGCTTTAGAGATCTTTGTAATACCCAATCAGACTGGATGTTTGCCTTCAAATTCAAAATGAATAAGTGTTATTGACCACATTATGTATGTAGCTACTGTTAAAACTATGTCCCCAGAAACTAGCTACTGCTTTTACCTGGTATTTTGCATATCTATTTACGCCTGAGGGAATTCTGCGCCAAAAAATTAAACATTCTGCGCATGATATTTTAAAATTCTGCAAATTTTATTTGTCAGTAAATAAATGTGGAGGCTCCAGCATGGCAGTGGGGAGCACAGGCCTCTGGCTGCACAGAGGTGGGTGATCACCCTGCTACCTCTTCTCCCCCTCCCCCCCAGGACATGGACTCAGCGGTGAGGCAGCACCCAACCCTGACACAGCGCAAGGGCTGGGCCTGCCCCAGAAACACCCCCGGGCCCTGCCCCTCTGCGCCAGGTGCACCAGGGGTGGCTGGGCAGGCTCAGCCCAGCAGGCTCCAAGTGTGGAGGGGCTTAGTGTGGGGTGAGAGGGTTCTCTGTGGGGCATTCTGGGCGTGGGCGGCTCAGTGAAGGGTCCAGGGGGATCTGGATGCACAGGGACTCATTGGGGGGTGCAAGGCTGCAGGGGGGTCCAGGTGGTTGGGACTCAGCATGTGGGTCTGGGTGTGGGGGAATGGGGCTCCGCGGGGGGAGAGGGGGTGTCTGGGTGTCGGAGGGGTTCAGCTGGGGGTGGGTCTAAGTGCTGGGGAGTGGGGCTTGGTGGGGTGGGGGTCCAGGTGCAGCCATTTCCCTCTGCCCCTGCCCCATCCCCTACTGTCTCCTCCTCCTCCTCCTCCTCCTCCTCCATCTCGTTCACCTCACTCCCACATACCCCTACCCCATTCCCCTATCCCCTTCTCTTCCCCCGCCCTATCCCATCACCCTTCCTTCTCCACCCTGTCTCCCCCTTGCCCTGCCCTACCATGGGCATTTACCGTTGTACGGAAAACAGGATGGTGACCATGCATAGCGTCCAGCACACATAGAAAGGGAAGATGACTGGCAGCGTCCGACTTCAGAGTCAGCGAGCCGGAGCAGCCACCCTCCCGCACCTGGCAGGAGAGAAGCTGCTCCATCCCACCTGCTTCACTCCCCACCCAGGCCTCGCTTGTGGGGAGAGGGGCTGAGCAAGCCGGAAACGTGCCAGGGGCGGGGAGGCACAGCATGGGAATGACTGAGACTCCCCTCCCCCTGGCAGTCCGAGCAGAACAAGCCCTGGGCAGCTCGGCACTCACAGAAATGGGGGGGGGAGGGTGTGAATGGCACATGACCCTGCATGCTCCCCCATGCCTTGCCTCTGAGGGGGTAATGTCTGCTCCACTTCTCCCACCTCCCCCCAACTACACGCATGGGCGTCCCTCCCTCCCAGTGATTTACCTTTCTGCCAGCTGCTCTGGGCACCGGAAATGATGAGCCTGCACTGCTGGGAAGGAGCACCTGACCGCTGTTGCAGCTTCCCTTTGCTTCCCCATCAGAGAGTCATTTTTTCTGAAGGGAAGCAAAGAAATAATCAGGGGACATGAATTCTGCGTGCACACAGTGGCACAGAATTCCTCCAGGAGTAATCTATTGTATTTTTTAAAGGATGATCCTTATCCATCAAAATTAAACATTCCACAACAGTCTTTTTACAGTTAGTCTCCTGTGATTGACTAGTTCTTTCCTTGCTGTGGTGATAACATTGTTCTGCCTTATATTACTCTGCAGGAATGTTCCATTTATAAACTAGTTGGCAGATACTCCAATTCACTAATATACATGAGGCTCTGTTATGACAATTGTATGTGTCCATAAGTAACCAAATCAGTATAATATCTTCAGCCTCATTCCTGATGAAGAATTCATAGTTTGAAAACTCACTATTTAAAGTGAATTATGAAATTCAACCTCTAGTCATAAATTCCAAAACCCAGAATCCCGTTTAAAACCTCATTAAAGGGGTATTGTCAGATTAAAAATCTTGTATTTATTTGCTTGTTGTAACACATCAGAAACGAAAGTTAAAGCTAAAGATTCTACTTAAGCTCTGTAGCGCAGACATAGCCTATGCTAGCATAGCCCCCTACTGTAGTTGCAGTCTACACCGACAGAGTTTTTCTGCCAGGTAGGAACACCATCTCCCCAAATGACATTAGCTGTGTTGACAGAAGCACTCCTCTGTTGAGTTAGCAGTGTCTACGCTGGAGAGTTTGTCGGCATAATATGTCAGTCAGGGTGTAGGTTTTTTCACATCCCTGACCTACTTAGCTATGTTGATATAGGTTTTAAGTATAGACCGAGCCTTACTTTTCATCGCAGGGGGAGGGATAGCTCAGGGGTTTGAGCATTGGCCTGCTAAACCTAGGGTTGTGAGTTCAATCCTTGAGGGGGTCACTTAGGGATCTGGGGCAAAAATCAGTACTTGGTCCTGCTAGTGAAGGCAGGGGGCTGGACTCGATGACCTTTCAAGGTCCCTTCCAGTTCTAGGAGATAGGATATCTCCATTTATTTATTTATTATTTATAACTCTAACTAGTTGCTTTCTGCATTTTGCTTACGTGACCAATTCAAGGCCGTTTCACTTTCTGGATATTATAAATTACCACAATAATGTGTTTCTCATAACTTGACTAAACCAAAAAAACCCCAACTTCTCACTGGAATTAGACTTCCTAAGGGTTTGGCAAACCCCTTTCAAAACCCAAATTAATCTCAGACTGTCCTGGGAAAAACAAACTTAGAATGGCCAGTTTGTCCGCTCTGCTGTAATTTTAACTGGCTTTTGTTTACGTCCTACAAAATATGAAATTACAGAAGCCTCAAGTCATGCACTCCAGCACCAACCAACCCAAAATTACACAATTCTGCTCAGTTATTCAAATAAAGTAAATTACGTGTGGCATGAATGAGATCTCCAGGTGTTCAGCATCTTTGAAAATGAGGCTAATCTGTTTGCACATTAATACAGAAAACAGGAGTTTATGCCCCAACCAGCATTTAACCAGTTTAAATATTCTCTATTTAATTGGAACATGATTTATTGGGATGTCAGGATATGAGAGAAAATTCCATATGATGGGGCTGCAGTCAGTTAAGAAGGGTTAGTAGCATTTTTTTTTTAAAAGATTAGGGTGGAGGAGTTCATCTCTGTTCATACAGAATTTTCCAAGTAAAGTTTAAAACAAATAGTTGAAATGAAGTGGAGCACTTAATTTTACTACAATATTTTATTTTAAAATGTGATCAGACTTTCCTCAGAAGGGGAAAGGTCTCTCTTAATTAGGACAGTTACTTCATCAAGGCAGTAGTCTGGCCACCCGGTTGGTCCAGTTAGGAGGACCCTAATGTACTGTGATATATCATTCTCTGTATCTGCCTTTAGATGTAATATTACTGTTCTTACTTAGGCTTATTGACTGGTGTTGTTGTGGACTCTGGAGATGGTGTAACTCACATTTGCCCAGTCTATGAAGGTTTCTCTCTTCCTCATCTTACCAGACGACTAGACATTGCTGGGAGGGATATTACCAGATACCTCATCAAGGTAAGCTGAAAAAAAATTTCTTGGCGCTACAGTCCCTATCCTAGTGATAGGCTGCTATGTGGCCTCTATCCAAGTTCAAATCAGTTGAAGCCTAGAAAGTGGAAAGCTTGCTAGTAGTGGAGAAATCTGTCCTCTTTCCTCTCAGTCTGGGGGGGAAATTGTTCTTGTATGCTTTCCCCCAGGATGCCTTAAAGCAGGGCCCTGTACGTGGTATGGAATTTGCTGTGGGATCCATTCCTTACTGCAGAATGGTGCTTCAGAATCCATTTTTAAAAATACATTTCTAGTCCTTATGGGTTGCAAGAAGAACCTTCCAACTAGAAACCGTGTACGTCAGTGCACTGATGGTACTAGTCTCTCCAAACAGCCTTAAACAGCTGCTCTGCGGTGTGTGAACTGGCCCATTTATCTCGGTGCCGTGATACCTGTGAAACCGAAGAGCAGTACTATTTAAATTGTCTGTCTATTGCACTGCTCATTATTTAGGCTGAGACGTCCCAGCTGAAGTGATTATTTCACAATTACAAACTGCCTCCCATATTCCAAAAGCCCCAGCCACCAGCCCACCCCTAAACACAAGCTCCTCTGATTATCCGGTGTATATTAAAAATGGCAAATGTGGGAATGAGTTGAATTTAATATCAAAACACACCACCAGGGCTACTGTATTCCTGCATAAACGTTCATATTTCATTTGTTAAATCCCCCTTTTTAAAATTTAAATTCAGCTGCTTGCAGCATGCATGGGAATTTCCCTTTAAAACCCAGGATTTCTGTGCTGAGGAGCCCAGAGCCTTGCCCAGTGGTGTTCTGGAAAGAGTGGATGGGGGGGGCCTCAGCAGTTCTAATATTTTGCATTCTTGGGGCTTGCTTTGCAGTGTGGATAGTGGGTGGTGCTTCCTGTCCTCTGATCCTTCCCTGCCTAACCAATGCCAATCAGAAACCAAAGATTTGGAGGACCCCTTTAGACAAGGCCCTCCTGGTCATTGCTTCCATTTCCAAAATGCTGGGCTTGGGATGTGCTGCCCCAAATTCTGCCTCATCTCCCTCTAAAAACATTCACACTAGACTGAGTTATACTGTAAGGGTATGTCTTCACTACCAGCTGGATCGGCGGGCAGCAATCGATCTATTGCGTCTAGTCTAGACGCGATAAATCGATCCCCGAGCGCTCTCCAGTCGACTCCTGTACTCCAGCTCAGGGAGAGGCGCAGGCAGAGTCGAAGGGGGAGCGTCAGAGTCTAAGGGGGAGCGACTCACTGTAGTGAAGACACCGCAGTAAGTAGATCTAAGTAACGGAGCTGAAGTTGCGTAACTTAGATCGATTTTCTCCCCCTCCTCCCCAAGTGTAGACCAGGTCTAAGAGTCAGACTTCAAAAGGGAGCTGTGAGTAAGTGTGACTTGCGTACCGATGAACCAGAAGGTATAAGTATATACCTGCACAGGAGTCTAAGTTGGTAAGTAACTTGCACTCCGTAATACGTTATTTCTGAATTTGGTCCCACCTGATGTGGGGGAAATCCATTTGGAGAGGTTCCCATAGTGAGTTTCAGTTAATGGCTACAGTGACTACATACCTGAAAGGATTTCACATACTATGTTTGGTAAAACTGTTAATCAATTTCACGACATCTTTGACTGGCATATCAAAAACTAACGTAGCCTGGGATTTAGCCACTCAAATTGATGAAGAATACATTCTGTGCATGTGAATCTTCAGAGCTAGATTTCAGAGTGATAGCCATGTTAGTCTGTATCAGCAAAAAAAACATATGCCCAAACAAATTTGTTAGTCTCTAAGTTGCCACAAGGACTCCTCGTTTTTTCAGAGCTAGAGTAATTCTTTTAAAGATTTTCAAGTATGTGGGAAAATCTTTCCCAATATTCATATGACAATGAGGACTGTATGTGTTTTCTACAGTAAGAGTGACTCTGTTCAGTCAATAAAGTGGTCAAATTAAAATCAATTGTATTGTTGCTACAACCTATAAAGACCTAAAAGAAATCAGCTGGATTGAGAAATCACAATGAAGCTCCAAATTTTGAAATGAAATCCCAAGAAAAAGAACAATTTGTTAGATCTTTCTTTCACTTTTTCCTTTGTAAAGATCATAGTGAAAACTGTAGTGCAGAACGTATCTTCCACTTTTCAGAGTTATAGTGTCATATTCACGCTGATAGAAATAAATGCAATTTGACCCCTCCCCTTATTTTCTTAAACTTGATTCTTGTCACATTTTTCATTCAATTTGTCTTTAGAGAAGTCTCCGTTTCTTCTGAGAAATACAAAAGAAGGGGAGAAATCAATTAAATGTGCATGCATATACACTTAATCACGGACAGTGAGAACTGAGCCACTCTTCAAATTTATTGCTAACCCAACATTCTTTTCCCATAGCTGCTCTTGCTGCGAGGATATGCCTTCAACCATTCTGCTGACTTTGAAACTGTTCGTATGATCAAGGAAAAGTTATGCTATGTGGGATACAACATTGAACAGGAGCAGAAACTGGCCTTAGAGACCACAGTACTAGTTGAGTCCTATACGGTGAGTGTATATGAGAGATGTACATCAGTTTTGAAGTTGAAAACTCATATGATGAAGACTCTCTTCCAGTATAAGTTAACACCATTCCAGTACAAGTTATAAAATGACTGCAAGACTTGGAACTTTCTTTCAACAATACTAAACAATGTTTTTTGTAATGGCTTGAAACTATAGTAAGTTTTTTGGACAAATATTTTTTTTTCTATTATGTACTGTTTCATAGTGAAAGATCCTGCTTTTTTGGTCTACTAAGTATTAGTATCTAAGTAATATCAGAATAAGCTTTAATTTGTGCTTTCTATTCTATAGCTCCCTGACGGCAGGATTATCAAAGTTGGTGGAGAGCGATTTGAGGCACCAGAAGCTCTGTTTCAGCCTCACTTAATCAATGTAGAGGGGGTTGGTGTTGCTGAACTGCTGTTTAATACAATCCAGGCTGCTGACATTGACACCAGGTAAGAGCAGGACATCCTAGAATGCTATGGATCTTCTTCTCTAAAACTTCTATCAGGGCACAAGTGTGAACAAGGAAAAATCAATTCATCCACAAAAATGGACCTTTCATAGCAATAGGCGAAAGACATTTTCTAAATACAGGTGTAATGATAAGTGTGAGTGAGGTGTTTCCTTGTCAGGTTAGTATTCACAAGTTAATGTAATCTTCTTTGAAATGGAGTTTTAGTGCTTAGAACTCAACAATAACAAACATACATTTAGGACATGCAGCGTTATTCTACTCCTAAAATCTCTGCTCTCCAAAGCATATTGCATGGAGAGTTTACATTGAGCAAGAGAATATGTATCTATTTCAGAGTTCATTGTAAAGGCATTGTGTCTGTTCAGTGACAGCTGTCTGCATTTCTTGGATTTTCACTTACCTGCTTACCTGTATATTGGGGTTTCTGTATTCGTTGTACAGAGGAGAAACTGTTGCCACTAGAAAAAATGGGTTTTTTTGTTTTTTCCCCCACCTCTATTAGGTCTGAATTCTATAAGCACATTGTATTGTCTGGAGGTTCCACTATGTACCCTGGGCTGCCTTCACGACTGGAACGTGAACTTAAACAGCTATACCTGGAACGGGTTCTGAAAGGAGATGTGGAAAAACTCTCTGTAAGTAGTGATTGATTAGTTGCTTCATTTGTAGATAGATCAGATATCCTGAACTACCACTAGAGGGAGCCAGATGGTCAGCAATAGGATGGAAAAAGCAATATGTGAAGTATTAACATCCCATCCTCTCTAACTGAAACATCAGTGTTTCAGAATGACCAATACAGACTTTGTATAGCCATCCTGGTGAAATGTTTAAATACACTTGAAACAAGGCCACAGTACTAGGTTACTTCAGAAGGTTAAGCAGAGTTTCAATGTAAATATATGCTGTTAAACTTTGGTGAGCAGTCCTGCTCTCAGACCTAACTTGGCACCTTAGGAAATCAGCTACTATTAGCAAGAAAATTAGTTGCCTTTTCTAAACAGTGGCAGTGCCTGCTCCGTGTGAGTTTTGAATTTCAGCTCTTAGAGCTTGGATGGCTTACCTGCCTCGTTCTCCTTGAATTTTTTATTTTTAATACCGCATTCCACAATTACTCTGTGTGGCTCAGTCTTTTCCTTCCCTTTAATTCATTGGTAATTGTAGTGGGCAGACGTACCACTCACGAGAATTGCAGAACTAAGATTGCATTGTATTGCTGTCTGCCTTGTAGAAGGAAGGTCTCTCTTTAGAGAGGAAATGCTTTTTGGAATGAAGGGGTTTGTTTTTCCCCTTCAGTCTTGAATTGCATCCAGATTTTTTTCAAAATGCCTTTTAACAAAATACATTTTAATAAAACATTTGCTCTCTAAATCCCCAAAGAGGACTTACTTAAAGAATGTTTTCTGGATCATAATTGGACTGAGCTCATCATATAGGTAGCCAGAATACTTAAACTATACTAATTAGTCACGAAAACACTTAACATTCTTTTATCGTTTTTAAATATTCCAAGTTTGGTGGCTTATATATTTAATAATCACATTTAAAATGCAAAATAGTGCAGTGTGTAGGATTCAATCAACTACTCTGTAAGGGAACATGGAATAGTTAAAGTAGAAACCCAGGTGTGGAATCCTTTCCATTCCCCCACCCACCTGAGACTTAGTATAACTCTGGTCATATAAACTGTACAATATTTTGTGAATTGATGAACTGGTAACTTCCCTGATAATCTTAGCTATCAAAGCTGAACAAATAATTTAGAATGTGATTCTAACCCCTGGACTTCTCTATAGGTACACTCAAGATGCAGTTTTGGAGAGCAAGTTAATTGTTTCTGATTTCCAATGCAAAGTAGCTATTTTATTGATTGTATTTTAGATTGCACAAGCAGAAAGCTCACGTGCAGCATGCCCTCTCCTAGCATTTCATTCACTTTCTTCCCACTAAACACAATTTCAGTTTCACTGTTACGGTGATTTTTTTTGGTCCCAGGAATCCAAACAATACCGTGTCCTTTTTCCTTCTTAGAAATTTAAGATCCGTATTGAAGATCCACCTCGTCGAAAGCACATGGTGTTTCTGGGTGGTGCAGTTCTAGCCGACATCATGAAAGACAAAGACAACTTCTGGATGACTCGACAAGAATACCAAGAAAAGGGAGTGCGTGTGCTGGAGAAGCTTGGTGTGACTGTTCGATAAACTCCCGACCTTGTTCCCGTCACATGTCTAAAGCTTTTATTCCTTCATTGCCAGTCTTTGAACTCATTCAGCTACATGACATGGAAAGGCCTGTCTGTGCCCTTTGACCCAAAGGTCAGGTTTTGTTCTGGCTTCTTGGGGTAGCTTTTGTTAAATGTTTGTTAATATGGCTAAATTTGACCACTTCCCTGCAAACAAAACAGAGCAAGAGCAGCCTGTCTACTGCATTGTTCCTTCTCAGGAAGGCAATTCTGGTAGGCTTTTTTCTTCTGGGTTTATTGCTGTAGTGCTGCTGGCGTTTGTCTCTAGCTCACTGGGGGTGGTGCCTTTCTTAGCATAAGAAAACCTGTCAGCAGCAGCTTTTACCCTCACGCTATTGTGGTGTTTACCTTTGCATCTTTGGCCTCCATCTCCATTGGCATTTTTTACCACAATTAGGAATTCTGATTAAAACCACAGTTAGAAACTGGTTTAACCAACCAAAATGGCTTTCCACACGGTTCCAACATAACTGGACTCCAAATGTACTGTCCACTTAAACTGTGTTAAAAGGCAGTTTATCTGCAGCTGTCTGACAGAATTCCTAAACAAAATGACAGTCAGTGGGGCTTTTCGTGGTGCGTTTCTTCAGAATGGCTGTCTAAGCAGTTATTGCCACAAACCAACAAATATCAGAAACCTCCAGTATTCTGACAAATTTAAATTCTTAGCCTTATAGTTTCTTGGTGTTGTATAGCTTCACTGCTAGGGGACACTGGGGGTCAACTTTATTTAGAAATACTCTTCTTTTTATAGTTAAATTTTGGTACCATGATGTGTCTATGTAATAGAGAGCAAGAGCTGTTATATTATCGATTCCATTTAATTGGGTTTGAGGCTTTGGCTAAGAAATTTTAGAGCAGTTGGGTCTGGAGTCTAAATCTTAATCTATTGAAAAATAACATTTTAAAAAAATGCTTGTAATAATTCTAATTCGATACAATAAAATACCCCAACAAACCGAGTTGTAAATGCTTGTTGTAAGCGCTTTTGTGTACCTCAGAAGCGCTTCTATTAAAAATTTGCAAGTACGTGAATCCAGTGCCAAGTAGTTATTGCAAATGAATCTTTCATCTTAACTGACCAATGTTTGTTTAAATAAAGCAAGTAGATATTTATAACAACCACTGGCAGTAGGTTATGAAGAATGACCTATATTTGTTGCAGTTAAAAATAACATTGACGTGAGACTTGTTGCTAGTTGGTAAATATCCACAATTCACTCTGTCTAGTCTTGATTTTTGATACTTATGGGGGGGAAGGAAGTAAAACCAGCGTTGAGAATGTTGTTTCCAAAAAACACATTAAAAGCTGAGATTCATTGAAAAATAGATATTACTGGTAATTATCAGACAGCTTTTTTTTTTAGTCTAGTTGCCAGCATGATTTTCTTGTTGACAGGAAATACAGGTACTATCCTCAGAATAAAATCTGCTGCCTTGCTGCAAAGTGTAGCAAAAATTGCTCACATACGCATTTCCATCGAACTATTCATTGTGTCACTTCCCCATTCATTGAAAATATCAAATTATATCATTTCTGACCTAATTTTTCTAAAACTTTACTACTGCATTTAACAACAGCAGAGCCAGGATCTGTTGTGGGAGGAGGGACAGACTTTCCAAGTTTGGTGTGCATGACGTTGCATTCATTCGTGTATATGCGAAGACCTGACAATTACACACATCTCTCTTTGAGCAGTTAGCCCTCACAGAACACTGCAATATGTAAATCTTGCTTCGATTCCAGAAACGTTTTTTTTTCATTCCTGAATTGATGGAGAGAGACCTTCCTTTTGGCTGAAAGCATAACAATGTCTACATGTCTTTAATACTAAAACAGTCACCGAAGCACTGTTAATAGTGACCATTTAATTACAGGAGAGTGTTTTTTGCAGCTGTGATTACCCTGAACTTGAACAATATGAATTTATAGGCATGCCGGTCATGCCTCAATGCATGCACTTACAATGGTTACTAGATTTTGGGGATATGGTTGTAAGGGGTACTCTGAACTCCTGTAGTTTTCTGTAAGTTTAAATACCTGATATGCTTTAGAAATGCCGTACAGCCGTCAGCAGTAGAAGACTTGCTTTTAGAACAAGTAGCAGTTGTAGCTTCTCACATGGTGCATGTCTCTTCGTTCTCAGTGTGTCCAAAAGCCATGGAAGTAAACCAAAGAATGACATTTTTAGAATAACAATCTGCCATTTGAACATTCGAATTTAGGGACTGACCTTGCACAACCCTTTGCTCAAGTTTATTTCTCATACTGGCCTCAGGTAGGTGTGTCCGGGAGTAAGGATCGCAAGATCAGACCCTTAGGTTTGAGTATTTCACAGCACCATGAGCAACAGATGTCGCTCAGTTTCGCAGTAACTGGAGTTTCTATGGAGACTCTGTATTTATATTAAACCTGAGCGTTTAAAATTATTGCTATCCTGGGTTTGAGAGAGCGCATTTAGACATAATCCAAATGGCATGTTTGTGTGTTGAATGGGTGTTCCTGTGCTCAGTGCGGTTCCCTCTCGTGTGTGATTTTCCCACTTCAGAACTTCTGTGTTGCTGGGAAAGCGATCTGGTTTGAACTTTTTAAAAACCAAATACCAAGTTAAATTTACAATTTAACTTTAACGGGAGTCTGAGCATAAATACAGGATGCCTCAGCAATTGTAAGAGTTCTTGTGAACAACCTATTTTTAAACGTACCTGCTTTGAAAACACAATGTGTTTTTAGGATGTTAATGTCTGTAGCTATTAACGTGAATGGCTTTTTTTATACTGTTCTGAGCAATGTTAAAACAGTGACGTTTGAGACTACGACTGGAAAGAGAAACATCCACTTAAATAAATTGACAGGTCTTTTCAATTTAAAAAATAAAATCGGATTTTTGGAAGTAGCTCGTGTGTGTTGTCTCCTTTGGGAAGTCACAATTCTGTCGTTTATTATATTTTCTCCTATAATCAGCCACTTACATTGGAAATGTTGTGAACGGTTAACTAGAGAATCTGAGACATCAACATAACAAGCTCCTTATTGATCACTAGCACGTTTAGAAATGCACCAGCACCCCTTGCTGGAGCTAGGATTAAGTACCTATGTAGAGGAGAAACACATCAATGAAAAAGAACCTTGTCAAGACTCTTAATCTCAGTTCAGAATTCAGGCTGGCAAGTGCTCGGTACTGTGACGGGCTCTCAGCTCCCATTGGCTTTAGAATACACAGGACAGTACTGGCCCAGGGACATAGAGTAAAGCCTTCAAAAGTAATGTTTTCATATTGAAAAAAATAACACTTGGCATTAAGTGGCAGGGTGCTAAATACTCTTTCTGACTTAATCGATAAAGTGAAGAATTGTGCTAGCTGTAAGGGGCTAGGTAGGTCTGTTTTAAAAGCTGCACTTAATTTGAAGCAGCTTTGTATAGCACAGTGTTCGTGTCTTTTTAGCACTGGGTCCTGTCTACCCCAGAGATTTCAATAGGTTTGGTAACTGGCTAGTGACATGGTTGGCTTTAACCATGGCTTGTGTCTATGCACGCTAAAGCTAATACTAGATAAACTGTGCCAGCTAATTGTTTCACACTGGCCATCAACATTGGGTGGCGCACACAGTTCTTTTTTACCCCTTTTGGCGTGTAGAATACTGCCCCCGATGGAACCAAGTTTGGCAAGTTTCGCTGGGCACTGCCATGTCTGTATGTCCTCCGGGCACTCTGTCCCCTGCTGAGCAACTTGGGGTAATTGCCCAGGTTTTCCTAGGATGAACTAATACACCATTCGGCACCATGTGGATGTAGATCTATGTGGTTGTGTTGTGAAAAATGCTGCCGTGGATACAACTGTCTTTGTAGTTGGGTCAGATGAGTTTTGTGCTGTGTGCAGATGATTGTAGCTAGGACCTAATGGAGGAAGGGGAAAAAATTCTAATGTCCCATCACCATACGGAACGCTCTACCTCTGCGCAGTAACCATTTTCAAGGCTTCTTTTCTTTAATGTGGCCATGTTTCTGCCCATGACGTTGGATTGTGACAAAAGCACGTCTTCCTTGTGTTTACAGCCCTTTCCATACTGCTCTGTTATGGCAATGTATGCCAAGCAGCTTGAACGCTACAAAGAGTTAACCTTACACTACGCTCATTTGCCTGCATTCTGGCAAACATGAAAACTGCAGAAAAATTTGTCAAATTGTCTTTGATGTTACTCTGTAGCCGCCGTTAAAAATGTACACTGAGTAATTGTTTTGTCCAAGGCCACCTCTTAGGAGTGAAATGGGTGACTAAGAATGTTTTCACTGGCAGCTCACCAGTGTTGGTTTCTGGAGCAAAGTCACCCTGTATTGGGGAAATTTCAGCATTCTAGGCCCAACAGGCCTGAGGAAAACAGATATGACTCCCAACTTGTGTTCTCCCTTATGGGGGGGAAAGGGATGGAAGGGGGGAGTGAATTTTGCTTGTCTTCAGAAGACCAGGCACAAGCAAAGAAGGTAGGACAAAGCTGTGATGCAGACAGTAGTACATAGCTCTGCATGTTCCGAGTTACATTTTCAACAAATTTCTAGCAAAATACCATCCACGGGAATAACCCACCTTCCAGATACCTGTATTTACATCTATTCCCCGAAGCAGGACTGCCAAGACTACTAATCATAGGCAAAGGCTACATTTTTAAAACATGTCTTTCACGGTTGTAGAAATGCTCCCTGAACTTAGCTGTCTCTATTCTGAGCCTATGAATAGGTTGGGCAGGAAGGGAATTTTAGGGAAAGAGGAAACTTTCGGCTCAGCCTGTCTATTTTTTCCTTCCTTCAGAGAAATTAGACACAAACATGAGAAGGTTAAGCCAGAATAGGAACTAAGCTTCCTTAGGAGGAGACAGAGCTAGGAACCTTTTAATGGAACTTGGCTCTGACTCATCTTGCCAACCCAACTGGTGCATCCCAGCTACAAAACTGGGAAGGGAAATGGAGCCCTGGCCTTTCCCGCAGGCTACCTATAACCCCAAATCCAGGAGTGTTTGTTGGAAACCTATCAATTGCCAACAGCAACCACAGTAGGAGAGGTGGAACCAACCCCTGTGAGAGGTGCATCCACCCCCCTGTAAAGCTGTCCCCAATTCACCTTTTCCCCAGCCGATCTCTTTATTTGCCCCTGAAGCTTAGATGTTTCAGGGATCTTTCTCCTGCACCAATTTTCTCCTATAATCTGCCCAACCTCGAGAGAAACAAAGCATTTTAAATCTCTTCAGGCATTTTTAAATTGGTACTTGCTAACATCAAAGCAGAGCTTACAGCACATGTTTTGCATGCGTCAGGCACGCGCTGACTTTCTAAAAGCAGTGACACTAGTGTGGGGGTGTCCAGTCCAAATCTGCACCTTTGCTGCACTTCCCTTTCCCATACCAATCCATCCCCCGCACCTCTGCCGCCACCTTTCTTGGCCCCCGTAGAAAAGTTGAGGTGGGAAGGTTCTAAAGACTTGAAAGGCAGGATCTGAGGGAAACTGTCCAGCCTCCTCTTGGTGTCTGTCACACCTACCTCCAGCCGCAAAATGCTAAAGGAAAGAGCTGTCCCCGCGGGCACTAGTCAGTGTCCCTTTGGAATAGCTTAGGGTTTTCTCCTGGTTTGGATAATTGATCCTCCTTTTACCATGCATCTTCAATAAGCAGCATGGCAACTTAAGTAAAAGCTGGATGGATTTGCTAATTCTCATAATGCTGTAGGTTTCTCCCAGTAGGAAAGAGTAGTTGTAAATAGGATGTTAGAACTTTAAATGTTAACATCGCTGTAACTAGAACCTCTAAAACAGGGGTGGGCAAACTTTTTGGGCCGAGGGCCACATCTGGGTGGGGAAATTGTATGCAGGGCTGGGGCAGGGGGTTGGGGTGCGGTGTGCAGGAAGGGGCTCAGGGCAAGGGATTGGGGCAGAGGAAGGGTGTGGGGTATATGAGGGAGCTCAGGGAAGGGGTTTGGGGTGCAGAGTACAGGAGGGGGCTCAGGGAGCTCATGGCAAGGGGTTGGGGTGTAGGCAAGGGGCTTAGGGCAGGGAGTTGGGGGGCAGGGTGCAGGAGGGGTTCAGGCTCTGGGGTGGCAGCGGCGCGCACTGGGGCCGGGGCAGGCTCCCTGTATGCCTGCCCTGTCCCCGGCCCTGTGCCGCTTCAGGAAGCGCTGCGGCCCCTGGGGGAGGGAGGGCGGAGGGCTCAGGGCTCTGCATGTGCTGTCCTTGCTGCGCCTCCAGCTACCTCCCCCGAAGCTCCCA